CAGCAGGACTTTGAAGCATGGAAGTAAGACTACAAAGACCACTGGGCACCAGGTCCTCTTGGTAGGAAGTACTAGTTGTTGTACCAAACATTCATGTGCCTCCTGGGGAATCACTCCTTCTAGGGAATATGTGGCTTAATTTGCACATGGGTGGAAGTGGAATAATATTTACTATCAATACAGCGGTTATCAGGGGATTGCTGAGATATTACAGCCAAATAGTTTACTGATTTTAAAAGCAGGTTGTTTAACTGCAGTCTCTTTTTTTTGCATTGCAGTTAGCACGTCTAATAAAACATCAACGTTGCTAGTCTTAGAAATATTTGTAGAATTTTATTCTACCAAATCCAAGTTCCCTGTGCCGCTCTTTGCACAGTGTGTTACCTGTGCTTCCATTCAGACAGCACAATTCCTTGTGTGTGGATTATTTAGGAAACAAAAAAAAAGCGTAGGATGTTTAATACAAATAGGTGAGATGTTTAATAAAGTTTCTGGGCCTGGGAAACCTGTGGAGTTATGGTCTGCTGTATTTAAAATTATATATTATCTGTATAGTTACTGGTGGAAAGGCTGGCCTTGGCATTATTTCTTATATTTTTATTATGCATTGTGAGACGGTTATATTTGGGGCTAGTGTTTGCTGTAAGTAGCTAGTGTATCCTGTAGCTACTAACTTGTGCTGTTTTGGAAGTGATGCTGTTTATAAGGTTGTGTATTGCTTTTACCTACGTCCTACTCCACAGCACCAGAAGGGAAATAACATCCTAAATCTCAAGAGGCTATGATGTGCCCTTTCTCCTTTTGTTAGCCTAATTCATCCCTCCCTCAGCTCAGAGTAAACACTGATACAAAGGTCCAGGAGAACTAGTTGAATTGTGGAGCAAATAGTATTTATATAGCACAGTTTCAAGTGATTTGTAACTCATTTCATGTAATCCCATTTTCTCTGTTCCAGCTGTGATAAAGTGCAGAAATAAGGAATGAGAGGGAATTTGGCCTTTTCACCTCAGAAATAGAAGTACCTTTTCTAGTCTGAACAAAATTCCCATTAATTTATCAATATTACAGTAGCTCTTTGCAGGTGGAAATAGAACAGAGCACTACCATGAAAAAGACGTAGGAAAAATTTCTTGCAGATGAAACATTGGGAGTGAGTAATACCAGTAGAATTCAACTTTATTTATCTTAATTTTAAAAAACAACCTGATAGATGTGCTTCTGATTATTTTTTTTTTTTACATCGTTTTAACCATACTGGTTGAGCATGAAACAAATGGGAGTAGTACGTCACACTGGAGTTCGATACCGTGTTGTAGTACCGTGTGACTGGATTTGCAGTGCGTATGTTTCCTTTTCTAATGTCCTGCTTTGGCACTTACCTAATCAATTACTTCTTGCCAAAAAGAAAACAGCAAACAAACAAAAAATATTAACAGGGAAGAAACCTGGTAATCAGTTTTTAGACTTGAAAATCTAGTAAGCTTTGTTACCCTGCAGTGAAAACTTGTGTTGCTGCAAGCATCTCTGTACTTTGAGTAGGTAAGCAGTTATCTCATACACTCCACTTAAGTGGTCTTGATGAAGTCTGACTTGACTATAAGCAGAAACAGTTGGATCTCTCAGCTCTGTCTTCATCTGCAATTGGTAACAGACTAAATTTTCAGATGCAGAGAACTGTGGACAGATCATAGGGGGGAAGATTTGCTTTAAAAGAGTTGAGAGAAAAGCTTAGCTAAACTGGTTGCTTTATTTTTCAGGTATCAAAGCAAGCCAAAGAATTCCTGGAATATGTTTATGAGGAGCCATTGATTGATATCCAGCAGGAGAATCCCATGTTGTACAAGCATGCTGAGCCTCTGGCAACCGTTGTCCGCCTGAGACAGCAGTTAAAATCTCTCCGAGCCTATCTGTTCAGCTGCAGAGCAGCAGTGGCTGAAGATCTGCGTCGAAGGTAGGAACCACAGACAGCCACAGCACAAGGATGTAGTTCCCTCGTTGTGTTCAGTTTCTCCTTTGTTTTTTTCCCTCACAATCTAGTTTTGAAGGTGTTACCCATTTAGAAAGATGTGCTTGTATCTGACTTTCCTGGGTGGCTGGGTTATCTGCTGCCCAAGAAAATGGTTTTACAGGATCTGAATGTCTTTTCTTGTTGAAAACTATTAACCCAGGGGTCACACATTGTGGTGAGCATCTTTTGCTCTCCCTCAGGCTTCCTGGCTGTGTGTGAGTATTTTCACTCAGGTGTGATATGTCACGTTCCCTGTCATGTCATCGCAGTGTGGTAACCACTGTTGGGACCTTTGAAACACCACACAGTATGGCAAAGCATGAGGGAAGCCTGTCGAGTGCTTCTCCCCTCTTCTGTGATATGATCTCTCTCAAAGGCAGAGGCCGGATGTAGTACCCTGGTATGTAACCCAGCATATGATTTATGTGAGCTCTTGCTCAGCCACTGTCTTTTTCATCCATGATATGGCTGCACTGTTTTGTTTATTGGAAAACAGGTGATCACAGAACAGCAGAAGGAGTTTCATATTGAGATTTCTGCGGTGGAAACAGTAGTTTTATAAAAAGTGAACTTCATTTTAGAAGTGCTGTATCTTAGTCCATTCAGCTGCTGCTGCATTTTCCTAACAAGCTAAAAATGAACAGTCTTAAAACCATCAAACCACAGTTGCGACCATAAAAAAGCCAAGTTACTTCTGTTGTGGATCATCAAAAGAGATGGGGAGGTGTCTCTGCCCATGCCATACTGTGAGACACATGCTACTGACCTGATGGTAAATGCATCTGTAACCATTTTTGTACCCAAAGTCTGTAAGTAAGGGAAGACCACAAATAGGAGAGCCAGTGCTTCGAAATTACGAGCTGCTGAAGGGCAGGAAAGCAGGTGATATCAGTGACTGTATTTTGAGTGTGCTGTTTTAGCTGTGGAGGACCTGAATTCTATGCACTGGAGTCTTTATCCCAGGTGAGGAGTGAGGCCGTCTGCTATTCAGTACATAAGCAATGTCATTGCTTTGATGAACTACATAAGGCAGCTAAGAGAAGGATATAGCAACAAGCTTCTGGAGAGCACTGCTGAGTTCTTGTGTCAGACCCACTTTGTGTTAATAAGTGTTTGTGTCTTACTGCTCGGTTTCTATTATTTGATAGGGCAGCTTACAGCATTTTAAAAATTAAGATTGTTTTTCTTTTATTCTAGAGGATGGTATTATCTTGCAGAGCTGTTTTACTCTTCACCTATAATAACTTTCCTATGCCATCTTCTTCAACTGTAGTAAACCCAAAAGGAGAATAAGAATTGTGAAGGCTGCCATTCAGAAAAAGTGGCAGAAAAGAAATTATGCTTTGTGATTAATGCTGAAGAAAAGAATGCCCTGATTAAAATAGACAGGAGGAGGCACGAGACTAAATGGACTTGGGTAAAAGAATGAAAGAAGAGAGATCAAAGGAGGCCTAAGCAGAGAAATCAATGGACTAGAGACAAAGGGATGAGGGAAAGCCAGGAGAAGGAGATTGAAAGAGGAAGGGATCTTGGGAAGTTTAAGAGTTAATGAAGAAATCAGGACAAAGAGGGAGCCCAAAACCTACCTCCAGAAAGGAGAGATGACAAGTGCTGAGTAAAGAAGAGGAACAGACAAAAACTAGCACAGAAATGTGTGCACGATCTTTTCTTAGGATGGGGAGGAGAGAGAAAAAACTCCCTATATCAAAATGAAACCCCCAGAATGGCAGGAGGGGAAACTGGGAAATACGCTCCAAATGCTCCCTTTTCTTATCTGAGGGTTCCTTCACGCTGTCTCCAATTAAAGTTTTTTGTGGTAGAGAGGAGGTCTCCAGCTCAAGACGGGTTTGCTTTTGTACTGGGGAAGCATCTCCAGTTTGATGGGACTCGTTAAAAGTGCTCTAAAAGCCACTGAAGGAATGTACAAAACACACCTTAGAGTCCAGCTCCTTCTTGGTCTGTGAAGTCTCTCTTCAGGTGGGTTTAATGCTCAGTTAGTCCCTCGGATCTTCTCTAAGAGGTTTGCAGAAATGGAAAGGAAGAAAAAAAGAAAAAATATTTTCCTAGGAGTTGTTTCTTCCTCAGAACTCATCCCAAAGGCTTTGCTTTCTGCAAGTAGTATCACAATGTGCAGACATTCACTACCAATGTGATGGCTTTATAGAGCACAGCTGAAAAGCAAACAAAGAAAATAAGTGACTTAAATTTCCCTTTGGCTCATCACATGGGTATGTTGCAAGAAAAGGAGGAGTTTAAACAATATGGTGAGACAGCATTCCTAAATTTAGTAGTTTCCTAGTTAGAAATGAAAGGCTGGGGGAGAGAATCCAGTTATCTGTTCTGCTCTAAAAACATTCTTTTTCCTTGGTCTTCACCTTAGTATGTGAATGACTATTAATCACAGGAAAGTGAACACAGCATCTTGAAGACCTGTCAGACCCATATAAACAGACTGAAACAAGCTGTTAATATTGCTGTCTAGGGAGAACTAAAAACAGACTGATTAATTGTATTGGCACCTTGCTGCCTTTGGGACACTGATAGAGCCTGCCTTATTAGGGAAAAGCAGATCACTCTGAGGTTTCTTTTATTAATACTACATGTATTATCATCTTTTTTAAATCTGTACCTTGCTCTTGAACCCACATCACAAAATGAAGATGACAATGAGGTTGGAAACGCTTGGTGTCGTCTGGGAAGACAAAACTGTTTACAGTGCCTACAAGTCACTTTTTGTGAAGAATTCCAGATGGCTATAAACCAGGTTAGCTCAGGATCCAGTTGGCTTAAATGTGGAAGTGTTATTAATAATGTTTGGTGTGCATAGATAGGTATTTTGAGAACTTTGAAACTTGGCATCTAGGAGAGAGCACAGGGCTGAACCACATTGTGGACTTTGAAGAAGCAAGTAACCAAGTAGAAAGAAAGGAAGAAGAAAAGGAAGGGAGAAAGGAAAAGAAGCAGAAGAAATCCTGAAAGTATCTAGAAGGCTCACAATAAAAGGTGGTCTTCATCAGTTATAATGATTTGTTCTCACCTATTGCTCCACTGGATTCTGAGATCTTTTTATATTTGCAAAGGAGAAAAAAATGAAGGAACTCAGACTTGGCTGAGAGGAGAAATAAGGCCCTCCACCAGTGCGTATCAGCACTTTTCCTCTGAGATTAGCCACCTGAGACTTTGAGCCTGTTGCTGAGCTCGCTGTTTTACAAGGGATGTTGTTATGCCTAGTTTGCTATGGCTGTCACCTCAGTATTGCAACAAACATAATTTGCCTCAAATGTCTTTACTCAACAAGTTCTCCCTTGTTTTGGTTGCCTTGCTTGTGTGGATGCTGTTCAGGCAGAAACATACAAGACCGAAACCTAGAGCCAACAGAGAAGTAGTACGAGTGAAGCTGTACGGATCCCACCACCACCTGCAGGTTATGGGATGATGAATGAATGGCACAGACAAATGAGGTGGAGTCAATAAAACTGATAGCTGGGAAAGAGCGAGAATATCCAAGTCCATTAAATAATGAGGTTATTCTGTGAAGCCATGCTAATGATGCAAGTTTTTTCTGGTTTTGCTTTCTTCCTTTTATTTTTAGACATAAAACACACTGTGTGTTTATAGCACAGCCTCTTTTCCTCTGTTCTTGTCATGGCTGAAGGCTTTTCAGGCCAAGGAGTTGTTAGAATGATTTTTTGGGAAGTCTTCAGGCCACCTCCATGTCTACTGTAGGGTGTAGGCTAACCCAGGTCAACCTTGGAGCTCTCTTTGGGCTTTCCACTGTCATAGTGATACACCTAAACTAGCAGTTCAGGTGTTGCTAGCCCAGGTATTTTAGGTAGATGGCAGTGACACAAGGTAAATGTTCTGCAGCACATTCCCTTATACATTAGGGCTCGTTAGAGTGCCTTTGCTCTGTAAGTAAATCTTCTGAATGGTGGTGAGAAACTGTATGGAAAATTTTCTCTCTTGTTACTTTTCTCTGTCCGATACCATTTGTCTATCAGCTCTAGGACAGCAATACATCAGTTTTACCCTGCAAAACTCCAGAGCTGGATACATTACTTAGCGTCTTACAGGAGGACCAAATTAGAGCGTGCTGTTGCAGCAGGAGGTTAAAGGTACAGCTCTAGTGCTGAAGACGTGTGGTCCTGGCTGAGCCTGCCGGTCTGTCAGCACGATGCGAAACAAGCCCAAATTCAGTTATGCTGAACAATAGAGTCCTGTCACTTCCTACAGTGAGGCCCTAAACATATCACTTCTGACACAGGAGTAGATTACTTTCAAAATATTTGTGTGGCAATTGGGGAACCTGTCTAAACACATCACAGGAATCCTGATTGATCTTATGCAATCACTATACCACCAAATACCTCATGTATGTGAAGCTGGGGCTATGTCATCTTTTAGACTGAGGACAACAGTAGGTCATTAAGTCATGTCCAGACTGTCAAAGGAGATTGTTTTCTCCATTTTCTTTGCAATGGGTCGTCCATTTGGAGAGTGGAAAATCCCAAAGCAGGGGTACAAACACACAACCTGTGAAAGCAGTAGACTGAAGACAGAAGAAGGCATGAGCAGGAAAGGAGCAGAAGGATGTGGTTTCATAGCACTCGGGACTCTTGATTTAATGGGAAGACCAACAGAAGTAGAAAACTTGTTGTGTGGGTGATTGGAAAGAGGGCAACAGAGAAACTCATTCAAAGAGAGTATCTGGGTATCCTGAGAGGATCCAGTGTTAAGACCAAACAACGCCCCAAAGTGAGGAAAAGTGAGAAAATAAATGCAGAGATGTGTGCACGAGCCATTTGTTGTTTTATGTAGATACTGCATGCGTGTAGTCATTGCAGTAGCTGAAATAAAGCATGCCTGTTGATGGAGCTCTTACACACACACACCTCCCCCCACCTCTTTTCTTCAACTCGTGGTTTTTTTGAAGAAATAACTGT